CCCCCCCCCCCAATAATAAATGTATCTTTGCATATAATCGATAATACGCTTTTAATAATTTTTTTTTATGTATGGAAGCAATGATTTATAAATTTAATAATGAGATGAAATTTTAAATATATATATATATATATATATATAGACATTTTTTAAAATTAAATATTAATAAATAAGAATTTTTTTTTTTAATTTTAAAAAGAAGAATCAACATTAAATAACTATTATAATGTATATTTATCATCCATTGAGGTTTAAATAGAATTTAATAGATTTATTGTAATGTTTTGTTTCTAAAAGAATATAAGATTGTTAAAAATTCTTTTTGTTTTTTTTTGTTTTTTTTTTTTTTTAATAATGAAATTTTAAATTAGAATAAAAAGAAAATATTTTCATTTAAAATAATAATTTATAATTGCATGAGTACATTATTTGGTTGAAATAATCTTTAAAATTAAATATACATATATGAAATATTAATTAGTTTTTATGTCATAACAATATATAGTATTGTTTTTGTTTAGATTATTTATACAATTATGCGAAGAATTTAATACGTAATTTAAAATTTGTGGAATAAATTAATGAATAATTATTTTTTTTTTTTTTTTTTTTACAAATATAGAAACTTCCGGTACTGACAGCGCATATGCTGAATTAAGTGATGAATCCAAGTCTGCTTCCACATCTTCGGATGCTACAAATTTGACATCTTCATCTAGAGTTGATTCAACCAGTGACGATACTGGATGCCCGTAAGTTTTAATTCATTAAATCGTATGATTTTATATTGTGCATATTTTACGGTATTTATTGTTATCATTCGTGCATAAGGATTGACACTGCAGATGAAAAAGACGAAGTGTCATCGACAGTATCAAATATATCAGATTTATCATGTTTGTCTGAACTTTCTGGTAACGGAGAAGTTGGTGCTCAGTGTCGAAACGCCTGTTCGTGGGTGCAAAAGCAAATGTTAACGGGTACAGATCCACGAGATCTTTTACATCACCTACTCATGGATTCCACACATATTCCTGAGCAGGTTGATGACCTGACTTTGTGGAAGGTATCTATTGAATAGTAGATAGAAGATAAAGATATATTCAATAAAATGACACGTGAATGCAATTGAAATATTTATTATGAGCATATACTAATGCTAAGTAATTTTATATTTTAGATAATAATAAATATGATGTCTGAACCACCACGAAGACAAAAGTTAAGACATGTAAATACATTGTCTGATGTTGTTAGGTTAATTCGTAATAGTAACAAAATCATAGTTTTGACGGGTGCCGGTGTTAGTGTGAGTTGCGGTATACCTGACTTCAGAAGTAGAGATGGTATATATTCAAGACTTGCTCAAGATTTCCCAGATTTACCCGATCCACAGGTAGTGCGAATTAATAAATTTGTTTGCTTTAATAAATTTGTTTGTTTTAATCAATTTGATTTTTAACTTTATCACATTTATTTCGTAGGCTATGTTCGATATCAATTATTTTGGCCAAGACCCCAGACCATTTTACAAATTTGCACGTGAAATATATCCAGGACAATTTAAACCTAGCCCCTGTCATAGGTTTATCAAAATATTGGACAAACAGAAAAAACTATTGCGAAATTATTCGCAAAATATCGATACTTTAGAACAAGTAGCAGGCATTGAAAACGTGATAGAATGTCACGGTATGTAAATTCGATATTCCTGTGGTACAGGCAACTCCACTATAACATGATTAATTCGTACGATGTTATGGGAAATTAGTCAAATGGGTGCACAGTACATATTTAAAAATATTATCGGAAAATATCATGTTATAGAAGGGTATTTCGCAATTTTTGTACCGTGTTATATCTAAATCGTGTTCTCGGAGTATCATATTATGGAAGAATTGTTTGTACTCAGGAAAAGATTGAA